CCCTCTGCCCTTCTACTTGTTATTTTTTTCTTCCTTTCTCCCTCTCTCTGCCTCCATCCAGTTGCTCTCCTCCTCATCTGTCACCAGCATTTTTTTCTCCATCTCTGTCCCGCTTGCTGTCCATTTTCTCTTATTCTCTGTCCTCCATCCTCCCTGTAACTCTTTGTCTGTACATCTCCATACTGCTGCCTGTCCCTTTGTTTCTCACTATATGCCCCTGTCAGGCTCACTGTCACGTTACTCCCCTCTGTCCTGTTCCTTGGTCTTTTTTCTCATCCTGCAGCCCATCCCTTTTTTTGTCTTTCTCCACCTCTTTGTCCTGATCTGTGTGTCCCCCCTTCCCACGCCTTTCCCTCTGGCTTGTTCACTGTGTTTTTCTCTCCCTTCTGCCTTCTTTATTCCTCTGATTAAATTTCTTGGGCCAAGCACAGAGAGTGGTGGTGAATGGAGTTAAATTCAGCTGGTGGCCAGTCATGTGTGGAGTTTTCCAGGGCTCCATTTTGGGGCCAGTCTTGTTTAGTACCTTTATCAATGATCTGGCTGAGGGGATTGAGTGCTCCCTCAGTAAGTTTGAAGATGACACCAAGTTGGGCGGGAGTGTCGATCTGCTTGCCGGTAGGAAGGCTCTGCAGAGAGATCTGGACAGACTGGATCAACGGGATGAGGTGAATTGTGTGAGGTTCAACAACACGGCCCAGTGCCAGGTCCTGCCCTTGGGTCACAACAACCCCATGCAACGCTACAGGGTTGGGGAAGAGTGGCTGGAGAACTGCCTGGTGGAAAAGGACCTGGGGGTGTTGGTTGACAGCCAGCTGAACATGAGCCAGCAGTGTGCCCAGGTGGCCAAGAAGGCCAACGGCATCCTGGCTTGTATCAGGGGTAGTGTGGCCAGCTGGAGGAGGGCAGTGATAGTGCCCCTGTACTCAGCACTGGTGAGGCGGCACCTCAAGTACTGTGTTTGGTTTTGGGCCCCTCAGTACAAGAAGGACACTGAGTTGCTAGACTGCATCCAGGGAAGAGCAATGAGGCTGGTGAGGGCTCTAAAGAACAAGTCTTGTGAGAAGTGGCTAAGGGAACTGGGGTTGTTTAGTCTGGAAAAGAGGAGGCTGAGGGGAGACCTTACTGCTCTCTACAGCTACCTGAAAGGAGGTTGCAGTGAAGTGGGTGTTGGTCTCTTCTCCCAAGTAACTAGCGATAGGACGAGAGGAAATGACCTCAAGTTGCACCAGAGGGGGTTTAGATTGGAGATTAGGTAAAATTTCTTAACTGAAAGTTGTGAAGCATTGGAACAGGCTGCCTGGGGAAGCGGTGGAGTTGCTGTTCCTGGAGGTGTTCAAAAAATATGTAGATATGGCATCTTTCCCTCTGTCCTATTCCTGTGCATAGTACGTTGGAGAGTGAGGCTGTGTGTCTAGGGAGCCTTGTCTCGTAAGAGTTGCGAGACACGCACATTTTCTCTTGGGCGGAGGACAGCCAAGTCACCGGACTTAAGGAAGAGGAAGGAAGGAGAGGAGGAGAGAGAAGCATCTGAAGCGGCAGTGTCTCCTGGCAGCACTGAGAGCAAGAGCTGCGGTGAGTCCCAGGCCCTTGGGGCCCTGTCGCACCTCTTGTGCATCCCAAGCCCCCCCATGGCCCCCTCTCTTTCCTACAGTGCTGTGATTATTTTTTTTTTACTTCCCCGTACCTCCCCTCTTCTGTTTATGTCTGCGTCCTGCTTCCTCTCCCTCTTTATTTCCTTCACAATGGTCTCTGCCCTGTTCCCTGTTGGTGTTCTCCTTTGTGCCTGTACGTGCTACTCCATGTCCCTGCCTTCTTATTCCTCTTCCTCCTCCTTCCTTCTCTTTCTCTCTGTATCCTTTTGTCTAGCTCACTGTCTCTGTTTTTTTTCATCATGTATCTCACTGTCCCCGTCCTCCTTCCTGTTCATGTCTTACTCTCTGACCCTTTGTGCTGCTCCTTGGCCCCCTTTGTTTTTTTCTCCATACTCTGTCTCTTTGCAGGGCTTCTAATATACTTCTGTTTTCTGACACACTACATGCTTCTCACAGTCTATGTTTTTCTCTCTCTCTCGTTATCGTTATTCTGGTCTGTTGCTCTGTCTTGCATCCTGTCCTGTTGTTTCTCAGTCTATCCATTTGTCCCACTGCCTGCCCATATGCCTATTCCTTTCTGTCCTGTTGACCATCGTGGGTGTTTCTTCTCCATCCTGCCGCTGTCCTGATCTATCTTTCTGTGCCCTGCTCTTTCTGTGTCTTTTCCTGTGTCCCTGCTGCTTTTTT